AAGGCACGTGCGTACCTTGAACACAAGTAAAAAGAATGGTAACAGGGTGCACGAGGATATCGCATACTGTAGCCTGACAGAAAGAGAGTAGGGTGAACTCACAAACACCAGCCATGCATAACAGGGGCCAGGTGCACATACAACATGATATGCACCTCAATCCAACAGTCCCCTTTAGTACATCATAGACTTTGTTACGGGCACCTTGCCCCGTGCCTTTTAACGGGTTTTGCTGAAAAAATTATTTTTGTCATTTTGTTTTGCTTTTAATTTATTAACTTACCGCGTTATAACTTAGAAAATCAAACTTCACAGATTGTTGGGTAATTATGAATATTAATATGTTAGTAGAAATATGGTCAAGAAAAGCATCATGCAAGCGTGTAGATTAATATATTATATATGAAAAAGGAGAAATAGTAGGAAGTTTATTATTATAATGATAGAAACTTACGTAGCTTGTATGATTGTTACTTGTGCTATATATGTATATATATATATAGGGAATATACTATAAGAGGGTGCCCTGTATTTTGATACCCATGTTGATGAAACTCAAGTAGCATATCGTGCCCTGTGGCAAAATGTACAAGATTTGTACAGGGGTGGAAACAACATTTGATGCTTTCATGGTTTATAGTACCCAATTACATACTATAATGTTAGTCGATATATCACAGTTCTGCCTGTATCAAATTTTATTTATGAACAATCTTTAATTAGGTGTTTGTTTCAATTTTTTATTTCGTGATTATTGCTCCAAAATGCAGATTGTTGTTGCATAATCAAGAAAAGTATGTTGCTCTCTTATAAACCAAGATTCTCTTGGTATATCTAGCCTTATTACAGGTGTTTCACGTTACCTGGGCAACACCCTCAAGTCAAAAGCTTCTTTCAAGCCAGTTCTGAGATTTAACACATAATAAGCAGACCATGTTTTTGGAACCAATAATGTATTGTCATCATAAAAGTTGAATATAATTAACAGTGACATCTTATATAATATTAGTAATTATTTCTGCTTTTATATAATAACGTAACGTTCATCAACTTGATTCTCGAAGGTAACTTGAAAAAGGGCTGGAGCCGAGTTGAAATTTTCCTTAAGACAACCGACGATTCCGCTTAAAGTCAAAAATAACCTTTGCGCGCGTATCGACTTTTGATTGGTCGGGTTAAACTAAGATGGCGCGTAAGCACCGTACTTCAATATCCGTTACCTGGACTAGTGCAATTCATTCATAAGTTGTATACAATCTTTTAGGTTATCCTTATAATTGTCTTCTTAAATCCCCTGCTTCAAACACAAAGAGTTTCGCCCAAATTGGGGATCACGTTCAATCTATTTTCTCTGTTGATTGTATAGATCATGTCGCGTGACAGGTGCTCACTGTTTTCATCTGGTACCTTCAAAGTTTCAAAGCTTATTGAAGCTTATTGGGAACCCCAGCAATGTCGAGAGGGTCAGCAGTCTCTATAATACCCTCTAATTGCTCTTACCATGTAACGTGTTTCACCTATAACCTTATCCCTGTGCCTAGTCACGCGTATGTTTCATTCTAGTTCCCCCTATCTTTTAACCCTCTACGCGTTGGTACCTGTCACCCCAAGAGATACATGAAACTAATACACTGAAGGGCTCGGATTATTATGGAAAGTGACGTTCATTGTTCACTGCAAGTTCCAGGGCTTCTCTTTGATTCGCAGATTATTAAATGTTACGTTTCGCGCACCTGAGAGAGGACATACACGCTCCAGAATGGTTGATTTTTCTGACATGGGGTTTGACACAGGTCTCAAATTATTCTAATTTACTTCATTGTTACTGCTATTATCAATCTCTTTTTTTTTGTTTTCGCATAGCACATATAGTTGGATATTGTTTTTACAGCTTATTGTTTGTTTTCAATTTATTCCTTTTGCTAGAGTTACTTTTATTCCTTCTGCTAGCCCTGTTGGTGTCATCCTGGTTGCATTCACAGGGTGTCTACAATTAGCAAAATAAATATTTATTCATTAAATCCTGGTGATTAGGCAGATGAAGATATTATTAGGAGTTGAAGAAAAAGTGTGAATTTACCTAAAAATACAAATATTTGTTTCGTACAAACTGCATGATAGGAATTACATGAATATATGCTTTATTTCTTGTTATTCTATATGAAAAGGTGTCTGGAGGGGAAGTGTTCACTTAATAGATGAGAAATATGCTTTGTAGACTGATGCATAACAGAAAAACCTTAATAAATTACAAACGATCTGACGGAGGGTCCCATTGACTCGGGATGATGATAATTTTAATCGGAAGCTTCTCAGCTTTGTAATATATCTGGGCAACCAGGAAGCCATAGACATTTAGTCGTATAACACAGATATTGTGCCTGTATTTGTCCTTCAGAATCATCCCTCCAAAAGAGAGGAGGTGGTGGTGGAGATACAGCAAGTGTGGAGAGAGACGAGGGAGTTATCACCATGACTACCACTGGAGCCCAGTATGCTCTCACAGCATCCGCTGGAACTACCAATGGCAGGGGTAGTTCCGGCACAGTGGGGGCTGATGTCAAACCGAACGTCGTTGTCGTGACTACCTCTAGCTCCAGTGGCAGTGGTAGTGCTGCACAGAGTCAGTCCACTAGAGGTCAACAACTTATCACTGTGGTCACAAGTACTGACCCTTCAAGTCCGAACAACCTTCAACCCATTCAGGTGAGTACTAAAGCCATGAGCATTGGTTTATCCTTGTCAGTTTCTAACGCGTTCTTGAACCTTCTAGTTCAGGAAAGGTTTTTTAAATTATGAAGCAATGTGATATTATGCGTGAATTATTCAATCTCTTTGACATTGTATTCTTTCAAGTTCAACTTTAAGATTTTCATTTCTAAATTTCGAACAGGCAGTTTTTGAAACTTGTATTTATATTCTGCAGTGTGATTCTGGTAAGATCTGATTTCTTACACTTGAAATTGTTCTTTTGTTTCTTTAAATAATTTTGTGCTAATTTGAAGATTTTTTGGTGCAAGAAACTCCAACTGTTACACATCTTTTAAAGGCACACAAAGGATTCGTTCGATGTCGATAACGTATTACATATTGTTGCACATAAATAAAAATTGAGATATGAATATAAAATCAATATTGGTTGTGGACATCCTCATATCTAACACAGGCTGGGATCTGGGGCTGTTGTGTGACTTATCTGATAACATGCACAAGCCATCTGCTCCCTTCTAGCTTGATAAGTGCAACTAATATAAATATTTATTAAACTTTAACACGTTACGCGTACAGATTAATATGGTTTTGTTATAAAATTTCTTGTTTAATAATGACAACCAATAGTGTATTCACATGAATTAAGCTCGCAAATAATTACTTATACTCCAGAAAGTATGTTTACAACTTTTAACATCTACATCTCATTTGTTTGTTCTATTTGGCCTCTTAATCTTACTCGTCTACCAATACAAATAGCATAGTCATTATGAATTTCCTACGCGACGACTATTTCATACGTACGTTATTATCGCAATGCCAATATTTGTTTAAATTGTAGTGAAACAACTTATCTCTTTATTAATCTACAGGGTTTCCTAAAATTCCAAATATTTAAAACACGCAGAGCGTTTACCGCGGCAGGCTATATTTAGAATGTTTCCAATCACAGACGTAGTATAATGTTTCTATGATAATTGATAACATAATTTGAACAAATTAAATGATTACTTTAACTAAGATTTAACGTGAAAAAGTATTCATTTTTTTTTATCAGTTCCTGAAACATTTGGAGTCGTATTTCAAATGCTCCTGCTACTGAGGATTAATAAATTTTCATTACACCCTGTTCAGAGATACTAAAATTTCTCTTAAAATATTCAGGTGTTGTGAGTACAAATATAAAAGATTTTTTAAAGTTATTCTTTAACTAAAACCTTGGATTCTTGCAGATTCCTATTCTTCATTTTTATAATTGATAAATGCAATCAATCTGTGGCCATGAGAACACGCATACTATAAATAATTATTTAGTTATTGGTTCAGGATCCGCTTGAAACAGCTGCAGATTCTTCAAACGGCTCGTCAGGTACCCCCGCGCATGTCACGGCACAAGTCGTAGTTAATACTACTCATACGGCCCAGCACACGCTTGTCGACTCCGACGTCGCCTCCACGTCTGCCGGAACTATCGTCAGCGGATCACCGCACTACATCACTGTTACAGGTAAATAGAAAATGTTTTATTCAATTTGTAAGGAACAAACGTAAACTGGTATACAACTGTAATCTACAGTTTATAGTTTATTTACAGTAAAATTTATTGTTGGTAAAGATTAGGATTCTCGTGAGGGAATGTACTTTATTGTGCACTGCCAGTAATTTATTTCTGTAGGGATGATCTTTATGAAACTTTCTAATTGCATAATATTGTCTAAAGAGCATTGATCCCAGATACTCATTCTATACGTATACTAGTATTTGAGTAGAATCTTGGCCCTTTCCATGCTGCTCAAAAACATGCACCTCTGTACTTCTACATTGACCACACTAGGCACCAGTGATTCACCGTCGTACGCATCCCTCACAACGGCTGTAGGTGAGGGCAGTTAACAATCAGCATGCACTTTTCACCACTCTTTCTTGTCTACCTTAACTTGTGTTTGTCATAATTTAAGCCTGGATAAAGGCAGCGTTGCACTGTAAAGTATATTAATGATTCTAGTTGTTACAGAAGGCTATAGTATTAATTAGTGCTTGACAAAGTAACAGGTGCATCTGTTTCTCTTATTGTTGACGTTTACTTGGCTTATCGTCATAGAGAAAAATTGCCTGATTACCACTTGTTATTCACACATTCTCACAGGGTAGTAAGGACCGTTGCTCCTATCTATCCTTGCACTGCAAAACGCTTTATATGTTTCTGGATTGTCTTCGTTACCTGAGATTACAACTCATATTTATCTGTTTCAGTGTCAGGCGAAGCCGAGGCAGTGGGTTCCGAATCAGTTTCTCACCCAACTTATGTCCAGTATGTCGAGGGGGATACTTCAACGTATATACCGGCAAATGGACAGATGTAAGTTTATATTTTATTTTATCTGACAGAAAACAACAGTTAGCACAATGTCAAGTTTCTGAAATATACTTATGTTATATCACATTTTATTTAAAAATTTTGCACTTATCTGTAAAAAAAAACCCTGTGCAAAGGGAGATGTATTTGTATGTCTTTAGGCTATATTTTCTTTTTTTTTTTTTCTAATAGGACATATCCTGTTTATGCTGTCGGCGAGGCGGGAGCAATGTATACTCCCGCCTCGAATCAGTACTATACACCGGCTTCTACTCCAGTCACGTACGCTCAGGTGATTATCGTTTAATTTACTTATTATTTATAATTAAGGAGTCTCGTGTATGCTAATGGCGTAATGAAGATTTTACCGCGATAATCATCTTCTGGTAAATATTTATTTAGGTTACTGGGCAAGGCTCGAATACCACAACCGGACAACTTCTTTCTCAGGGCAACGGCACCTATTTAATTCAACAAAGTGTTGTTGATGGAGATCCAACAACACACGCACTTATATCAGCCGCTGCTGCCGCACGTACGAGTCCGCAGACTGAAAGTGCGGTAAGATAAGAACCGAGGAGAACTATAAGATTTTTCTACTTTTTTTTCTTTTTCTAACAATGCTAGTTACTTCGGATGATATTGATTTGAAAGAAAGTTATTGGTACCCTTTGAACTATCAATGTCTCTTCAGTAGTCCTAGCAATGTTGAGATACATTCTGCTAAAGTATCCAGAAAAGGTAAATTTCCCTTGTGCTGTTTTGAAAACTTTCTCTTATAATATGCTAGAAAATCCGTGTGACGATTTCCTTTTTTTCTTTTTTTTTTTTTTCATGCATTATTACCAATTTGAATGCAACTCGAGAGAGACTGCTTTATAGCAATGCAATATCAGAGACTGCATTTCCTAGACACGAGAGAGCGTTATTTACAATTTAATTACTGGATTATTTATCTCTTGACTAATCAGACATTGCCCCAGGCTCGTCAATGACGTTTGTGAAACAATTAATTTCCTTCTCATATGACTATTGGATTCACTTGATAAATTCTTCATCATACATTCTTAATTTGTCATATCATGGCAGTCTTAGCAAGATCCATTTGGCTTTTAAATACAATGTCGCACTTGGCTTTTAACTACAGATGACAGCTCAAACGTTTTTTCCCCCAAATCCATCAGAACAGATTATCTGACTCATGTCAGTGTGCACTGTTAATCAATCTCCTTCTGTAATTCAAGAGAAACGTTTGAGTCAAGCCACCAGGTAGTAAGAGTTCAAAGGCCACTGTAATTCGTGGCATGTCATAGCTTTTTGGGAGCTATCCTGCATTCAGCAAGGTTATCCCCGGCCAGCCATTCTCGTTGTGTTGTCATTGCCTGTTCAAATCTGTATTCCCTACTGCGAGAAACGAATATGGGATCATTCAATTGAATCAGCAGAATGGCTAATCCGGAGAATAAGCTTGCCACTTGTCGATATGGGGATTAACCAGGAACCGGTACAACGGGTTGTTTGATAGGAGGCTGTGGTTAGCGGTGGTGGCGGGACATACTTGATCGGCGGTAATTCGGGCGGCACTGCGGTCAGCGTGGAAGAGGCTGCTGCCGCCGCAGCCAACATGACGCATGCCACTAGAGTCTCCCAGGCCACCGTAAGCCATATCGACTCCCCATTTGTTAGCTACTTTCTTATACTAATCAGTGTTCTTTGTGTCTGCATGTTGTGTCGTTGTGAAACATAGTACAAGCGAGAAGAGTTCACTCGCAGGAAGTTAATCGTTTCTTTTAAAAAATATTGTAAAGGCATATTAAAGTCGCTTTTTTCTTATTCATCAATTTGGAACGTTATTATAATACAATTGTCCCACGAGTGAACTTTGTGCGCTGTTATTTTTCTATTTTATGAATTATTTTCTGTGCGACAAAAAAGACATGAATGTTAACTTGGGAATTTTTTTGAGGTGATGCGATATGGAACATTTTTAAATCGTACTATCAGGATCCACATTTATATTGTATTTATGGATTCTGCATTTTATTGCTTCTCTATTTTACTTAAATTTAGCTGAGCTGGTTAAATTTTGTTTCATGTGTAATAAAATTTTCTTAGCCGTATCTTCCTTGTAAAAGCTTCTTTTCATGTCTGATAGTGGTTACAATTCTTTGGTCTACCCAATGGGATTGCGTGAATTGTACTTAGTATGAGTTGTTATCGTTTTAAAAAAAGAATCTCTTTCAAAGGAAGATATAAAAACAGGGGCTTATCCTTTGATGTTCTCTCTCTTCTGGTGCGTGGGTAACATGTGACTTGCTTAAGTCCAGTAAAAGGATTGGATTTAAATTTATCTTGAAGATAAGCTTCTTGAAGCCAGTATATAAATTTTTTAATGTTATTCATAAATAGTTCACGACAATCACAAGGAATTTATTTAAATATTTACTAATAACGATAGTGTTTATTGTCGCAATTCTATATTACAAGCTGGACCAATACATTCAGTGTCTTTCAGTATAGCGAAGTCCATTTTGATAAAGTACGTAGCGGCACTTCGAATACAGCACCACAATTTTTTTCATTCACGAAGCACGATTATTGTCTTTATCCTAATTAACCAGACAGTGATTAATGCGAATCCTATGATTGAAACAGGTGCAGTGGCTTCTTGAGAACTACGAGACTGCTGACGGTGTTTCCTTGCCTAGATCCACTTTGTACAATCACTACCTCCGTCATTGTTCTGACAACAAGCTGGATCCCGTGAATGCTGCAAGCTTTGGAAAGTTAATTCGTTCCGTATTCCTTGGACTGAGAACAAGACGTCTTGGAACACGGTAAGTTTCCAGAAACTGTATTACAATAGTTACGGATAACAATAATGTATCTTAAGTTATACTAATTATCATTTCTGTGATAAATCTTTTAAGGGGTAATTCCAAATATCATTATTACGGGATTCGCGTCAAGCCAAGCTCCCCGTTAATTATGCTGAACGAGGATGGAACATCCAGACAGCAACCTACGACAAATGCTCAGACGAAACGATTTAAATTCGTTAATCAAAAGCAGGAATCAACATATGACAGCAACGCACACTCAAATACAAATATTTCTTCCAACACATCACCACCGCAGTATCATCAGTACCTTGGAGAGGCGAGTGGAGCTATTCCTGAGTTTCCTGAAATTGTCGTTGGACATGGTTCATCTCTACCCGAGGATTGTACTTTGGAGGACATAGACACATTCCGCAGCATATACAGGGAGCACTGCGAGGCCTTTTTGGATGCTGTGCTCAACTTTGAATTTGCCACAGTGGAGAGTCTCTGGCGGGAATTTTGGCGCAGCCAAGACAACAATAACGGTGATGAGTGCGAGGAGGAGAAATATTTATCAAAGTACGTTTATCCATTAAATGTTGTTGTATCGTAGAGAATTTTATGTAAACTACTGTAGGAATGTATAGAACTTTTATTCTCTCCTTAGGACAAAACTTTATCAGATGTGCAAGTGTTCTGAGGTTCAGGACTTCATCAGAAGGGTTGATTACACGTTCTATCAAAATCTTGTCGAAGTACTCATGCCTGACGTACTACGACCTATTCCAAGTAAAATAAAATGTCTTCATAATTTTCATTTTATACAATTTAAACATCCTGAGGTGATGGTGAATAATTTTCTTACTGTCCTTCATTAAGGTTCGCTGACACAGTCTATCAGAAATTTTGCCAAGGGTCTTGAGTCGTGGCTGACATCTGCCATGAACGACTGTCCTGAGGAAATGATGCAGATCAAGGTATAATAGCAGATCATATTGGTTCGAAAATTTTGTTAGTGTCACGAAAGATTAAATTAATTTTTGTTATTTTTTCTTTTCAGTTGACTGCTGTGTCGGCCTTTGCTCAAACTTTAAGACGATACACATCATTGAATCATCTGGCGCAGGCAGCACGAGCTGTGCTTCAGAATTCTAGTCAAATTAATCAAATGCTAGCAGATCTGAATCGTGTTGATTTTCACAATGTACAGGAGCAGGTACCTATCACGTATAACTATGATTTTACCTCAATAAGAATTAAATTAAATTAATATTTATTTTTCTATTTAATTCCTTTAGGCATCGTGGGTGTGCCAGTGCGATTACGCAGTTGTGCAACGTTTAGAGGCTGACTTCAAGGTCACTTTACAACAACAAAATTCATTAGAACAATGGGCTGTCTGGTTGAAGGGTGTAGTGACTCAAGTGCTTAAACCATACGAAGGAAAACCTACATTTGCAAAAGCTGCACGACAATTTCTGCTCAAATGGTCCTTTTACAGGTACACAAATGTGAATGGTAGCTGTAATTTGCGCTCTATCCGATCCATTATATTGTAATTAATTTTGTGGCCAATTTGTGGAAGAGTCTTATACTTTTTCCTGTATCTTTAGCTCCATGGTTATTCGTGATCTGACACTGAGAAGTGCTGCTAGTTTCGGATCTTTTCATCTGATTCGGCTGCTCTACGATGAATATATGTTTTATTTAATTGAACATCAAGTCGCCATTGCCACTGGAACAACACCGATCGCGGTAATGGGTGATGTAAGTAAAAACATTAATTCACAAAAATTAATTTTCCATACGTACAAATTCATTGAAAGGTAGTAAGTTTTTTTTTTGTATCCTTTGCAGAAAAGTCAGAATTGCTCATTGGTCAATACTTTCGGAACTACATCTAACGGAGGTAAATAAATATACATCCTTTATATCTCACTCTTTTTTATTGTCTCTGTGCTTTCGTAAATACATATGCGTATATATCTTTTCAACGAGGATTAATTGAATTTTTGCAGATACGTCAAATAGCAGTCAATCTAAGCGCATGAAACTGAGCTAACTGCGTGCCTGCGCGCTGTAGACTGTGAGTAAACGAAAGATAAAGAGAGAAGGATAAAAGAAGAAACGAAAGTGAACGAAGAGTACACGAATTGAATGATATAAGTAAAACTAGCCCGAAAACATACAGGCCTACTAAATACAAGCTAGTCCCGTAAATTATTATTTTATATAATGACAAAGTAAAAGAAAAATGGTAACTTATCGTAAACGATAGCTACGAAGATTTTTACACAACGCCCACGACGAATACAATTTAAATAAGTTTTGTGTGATATAAGGTAATAGGATATACATTGCAAAGCCTTCTCATATATTAAATACAACGCGAGGTTCGAGGTTATTATCTCTTGCGTTAAAATATAAGCGAATTAGTATACCACATCTAGTCGGAATGTCTTTGGTAAATGTATTGGGACCATGAAAAGATTCATGCTCTCTCTCAGTAAGCGCCATAAATGAAGAAAATCCTTTGCTCCGTCCTTTTTCTCTCTTTTAATTTTTCCTTTTCCATCGTGTTTCTCTAAGCAGCTGTTACTTTTATATCCCATTGCGCAGTGCCGGCACAAGCATATTACTGTACAGAGAATCGAGGAGAACGTGCAATTAATTATCCTGATACTGCATTCTTACACAAAATTGCAAATGCAGAGATAGATGTAAATGAGTGACGTGTCACGATGGAAAATGGGGAGAGAAGGGTGCGAGTTTGAATGTTGACAGCGTGCATCAACAAAGAATTATAAAAGAGAGGAGAAAGTTTAAGACGTTGAAAAAAAAGAACAGTGAGAAAAAAAATGGTACAATGGTATTCAAACGCACCGCGATTATCTCGTCGAATAATTTTTCCATGTCTTCCAGCTTTCCTTTCCTCTCTTTACTAATGATCAATATCGTCGGCACAAACTTCCCTTTAAGGTTCACGAAATCCGCCCTTATATAAATGGTTACTGTCAGATATTCCTATTCAAGCAGAAGCGAATCTAGCCTAGTTCGTAACGCTGATGTAGACGTATATACGAAACTTTAAGTAGATTCCAATTATTCATATTTTTTATCGCAGTCATACGAGGATACATCGAGCTAGACATGATTCTTTTTTTTTCCTTTTCTTTTATTAAGAAATGATAGAATCAAAGAGAGACGAATGACATAGGTTATATGGCGCGCGCGCACGTCTCTTTATGACGGCATATGGATCATCGTAATAGAAGCTACGTGTTGTATTCTATTGTCAAGCCATTAAGAGGCGTGTTTGAGCAATTTGCTTTCTTTGTAAATAATCAATTTATCTTCGACAGGCAGTAAAAGCGCAAGATTTTTTGAAGTTTAAGGGTAATTAATAGGTCATGATATGTCGCGAGGGTCACGAGTGTCCGCGAACGGCGAATATATACTTTATTTTGCTTATATATACAACACACACAAACATATATCTATTGTTAAATTACGCATGCATTATCGATATTATTATTTGCATTGTGCCGCGGTCGCTCGTTTTTATGTTGCGTTAAATTTGTTACTTGCTCAACAATCTGATTTTGTCGAACAATTGTCACCTCGATGCGACATTATTTAAGACGTGTCACGGCGATACGTGCTCTTCGTCGAATTTTGAACTTACACGGGGATTTGCATGATTCCTTTGTAACATAGATTGTTAAAACTTAATTCGTATACTGGACAAATTAAATGTTGTATTCTGTTTTTCGACGCTCTTTGTATTATTGAATTGTCTTTATAAGATGACTGCGCGCGACCATAACTTATGGGTTATGCTACAGTGAAGAAGAAAGAAAGAAGAGTATCGAGACTGTCGCGTGGCGTCATTAGTCGTTTATGTATTTCTCGATTATATTCAACGGGCGGGTAGACAACGCGTGGTTTTTCTTTCTCATTTTCTCTTATTCTGCACTTTTGAGATATCGGATATTACATTATTACTACAGACGAGCGACACCAAGTGTCCTCGTGTACAAACTGTTGTTTAATTTTCTTCTTGTTTCTTTTTATTTTTCTCTACAATTATTCACAATTCCAAACGGCCTTAAACGCATCGATACTTATTGCGACTGTATCCAAATCATCGAAAACCACTTAAGCTACCAATCGAATTGGTAAACACGAACTGTATACAACATATGGATTTAAAAGAGTAAGAGCCGTGTGCGAAAAACAGAGAATGAGAATGTGAGTGAGAGTGAAAGATAAAGAAAAATTGAAAAATCCTAATTCGGAAATATATCATGGTTCTGTCGTGGCTCATTGTTTTTGGAATTGAGGTACAGGGCAGTTTAATGTACGACGATGTATTGTTCGTCGGTTACGTATTATTATTATCATTACTATTATATTATTATCTAGTTTTTTAATATTTGTCTCATCTGCTCCGCGAGTTACCATACGGTTAGCGACTGCTATTTACGAAGATTACGTCAGGTACCTACAGGGTAAGCGATGAAACCATAGCGGGATTGTAATTAATTCGATGTAAAATTCTTGTACGATCGGTGCTCGCTAGTCTCATCTCTGTTTTCTGTAAAATGCCTTTACACGTGATCTTAGATCATTAGCGTTTATCTGCGACTAAGGTTATTCGAGTGCGCGTACTCTATTTTTAAGCTCAGAAAGTACATATAACGTTTTTCGAATTTGTTCTTTTCTTTTGGAACTTGTGCGCCGCACGTAGCGAATTCGGTGCTTGGTATGTGATCCGAAATCCTACATTCCTGCTATGTCAACGAGACAGACTGAGAAACTTTGGCATTATTGTTAGAAAGAGGAAACAAAAAATGTCGGAGGAAATGTTACAAAATGTTTTTTTTTTTTTTTTCGTTCTTGATTCTCTACACGTGACGCTCTTTGTGGGGTATCTTTAGTGCGTAGCTTTTAAGAGACAGGCATTGATCCGCGGACGGTGATTAATTTCTTTTTTCTGTTCTTATGGAGAAATATCGAGCGAGGACGCACTGCTGTGTCTCTACAATAATTGTCAGGAAACGTATGAGTGTATACGAATTTTTTTTTTAGAAATTTGTCGCTCAATGAGCACCGTACTCGTAGGATAGACAGGTGCAATTCGAATTGAATAAGTGCACGAGATGGAAATTGTCAAAAGACGAGGATAAACGAGATATCCTGTTCACTGAATGTTCCTCAATGTGCAGTGTACACTATGATAATTAATGTCGAGTTAGAGTCATTGTAAGAACGTAATTTAGGTTTTGAATGACTTCTTGAGAAGAGGGGTATACTTGGTAATCGGTTGAGAAGGAGGCAAAGAAGTGTTTCGATAATAATATCCCTAGGAGAACGTGACTTCAATTAGGACAGTTTAACGTTTAGAAATGAATCTCTTTGCTTGCATTATAATATAGGATAAGGTAGAGGAAGTACAGATTGATACAATTGACCGTTAACGTTACTTATGTCTTTGTTTTTTTTTTTTAAATTAATTTATTCATTTGGAGAAATCTCACTGTTGACTGCAATCCAAACGTTAATTCAATCCTATTGGAGTCACGTAATGCGAGTACCGATCCTGGTTCTCGATTATTGCGCCTTGGTATTCGCAACGTGGTTTTACGAATCTAGAATTATGTTTATTGTATTTGTATAGTGGCATCACGTACTACTAGTCAAACTCCATAGGATAAGTTGAAAACAGGGATTGAATAGTACACAGTGCGTAAGGACACGGAGGAGGCTCCCGGAGATAGGCGTATAGTTGTGCACTTTTGAAAGCAAAAAAGGAGGAAAATATAGAAAAAAATATAAAACAGAGTTGAGGGAGGGGAGAACATTTCCATAAATATAATGAGCTTATATGTGTAAAAACTATCGATACCTAAGTGTACCTAATAATAAGTAATCGCTTATTTTACAAATAGATCCCTAAATTATTCTAGGCAACAGGTGTCTAAGAGTTTTAGTGGCAAGCGTATTGGATATGAAAAAGAACGTTTTTGTGTGTTATTGTTGTAATTATTAATCTTAAACAGTGACGATCTTAGAGCGTTTGAAAAGTTTGTTTTTCTTTCTATATTTGAATTTAGAAAATTGATTCTGTTTAATTGCTATATTTGTTTGGCAGGTGTAAAGAACATGCCAGATATCATTGGTAGGATGGAAATTATTTCATTTTTGCGGAAATTCTTTTAATTTTTTCATATCCATTACTCTTTGCTTCTGCTCTCTTGGACGTGGTCCGAGGTTTTATATTTTTCATAACTGTCGAAAGGCATATAAGAATGGATAGCCTATCCGAGTGACAATGGCGAAGAATCAAACACACTGAACAGTCTCCTGTGTTGCGGGATAAGCAAAACGGCCTTAAATATTTCCAAATGTAAAAAAAGTCTCACTGTCCTCCTTATAGAAGCGGGCCATTGAGAACCGTTTGGTCGGAGGCAAATGAGAAAACGATTAGTCCACTTAAAGAATGATAAGACAGGAGATAATGGTGAAAAAGAGGTGTATCGTTTTCCTTACGACGTATAGAAGATATTTTGATACCTCCCAATTTGCACAAACCAAAAAAAAAAAGAAATTCATTACTGCTGGAATAAGATTATTTTTATCGAATGCAGCTCAAAGTAACACCTTATTGTATGAATTATGTGAGGTATATGATGCTCTAAGGACTGTGTGAAGTGTGCGAATCACAGAAATTGAAATAAATAATAAATATATGTTTAAAACTCAAAAATTCTTTTAATGTCTTTCTTGTCATAGTTGCATCCTCGACACTTGTAGTTAGTCTAAATGTGGATCCTGTCCTACCAAAATCCATCTGTTTGAATTTAAACTGAAACATTTATTTATGCATATTTTACATAATGCTGAGATCATTTTGAATATACATATAATTGAACCTTGTGCAGTAATTCAAATAGAATTTAACTTTGGATTTTGCTCGCTGCTTCTGCGATGAACTTGACATATACAGATGGCGTTTCGTTAGTTGCTTTCACATTTGGAAAATGTGTCTCCGTCATTTGCATTTGTCATAGTTTATCAGTTTTATCTTTGCGTATTAATTTTCGGCCGTATTTTTTTTATTTTATATACTAACAAATTACTGGCCATCCTTAATTATTATCACTCTCTTCATCCCATAGAAATTGTATCTGAGCGACTCATCTGGTGGGTAAAAAAATACTTTAAATAAAACCTTGTTTATCACGTTTTAGGCATATACCATGACCTTTTACATTTTCAGAAATTAAATAAATACGTAATTTATTGTCGGACTTAGAACGATTTTTAATTTATGCTTTCGTTTACAATTTCATTTAAATACGTGTATCATTGTACGTAGGTTATGTCATCAGTTCAATATGGATTGAAGTATGTTTGGATGTCATGACTCACGTTTTTCGCTATGTTTCAGTATCAGCATGTCAATGGAGCACGAAAAATCTAAGGACGTCCTAACGGGTGCTGTAGAAGCAAAGAGAACAACCTCATCAATAGAAGACAAACATTTCGGTTTAATTAATGAGAAAGGTGACCATAATGTCAATTGTGATTCTGCTGTACACAATGCTACGAAGGCACTGTTAGCTAATGAGTCGGGCGCACAAACAGGTTCTTTTCCTGAACCTAGAAGTCATCCTTCTGCTTTAAAGAATCCACAAACCATTGAAAACAATGAGGATGGTAGTAGCACACAAAAGCGAACTGAATCTCCAGATAGTGAAATAGTTGTCATTGATGACTTAGATGAACGACGTTAGTATCTATATTTTTCTTGAGTTATTTGATAGGTTAAGCATGACATTTTTTAAAAAGAATGAACTTTATTAAATTATGTTTCTAATCATGTTTTATAAAAACATTGATTGTATCACTATTGCTGCCTTACTGAACATACTACTATGCAACCAAGCTTGAATGGCTTCTAAGGGACGCTTGAAGTTCAACTAATTGAATAATGAAATCAATACTAAACTGATGATTTAATATCCACTTTGGAATACAGTTACTAGGAGACTAAACCAGTATTTCTTTTTACGATGCCTGCTCACCATAGAAATAGACGAAGAATTAAAAGAATTCAGGGTGTGTCTTTACTGTTTGAACTCCAACAAGTTACATTATTTTGTTAAAAAGTATCTCGTTATTTGACTGTTACAGAAAGCATTGGATCGGGTTTGGATTCAGATATTGAAGATAACATCAGTGACGTAGGTGAACCTCTGAGTGCATCAAATGTAAAGCAATACGATCCTAGTATTGATGACAAATTACCAGACACGGTTACTCTACTAACTACTCCTGATGGTGGAAAAGTTTACCTTGTGGGAACTGCACACTTCAGTCTTGAAAGTCAGAATGATGTTTCAAAGGTATATACAAAGTACTTTCATTTGTACATGCATTATTTGGGTATCGTAACACAGAATAATCTTTACATATCATATAGATTATTCAAGCTGTGCAGCCTCACATAGTAGTAGTTGAACTGTGCAAATCGAGAGTTCATATTTTACAACTCGATGAACAGACCATACTTGAGGAGGCGCAGAATCTTAGTTTTCGTAAGTGCATAGAGATATTCGTTAACTAAACGTTTTTTTCTATAGAAATCCATACAAATTCTCTTTAATATTCACAGAAAAAGTTCTCGATACGATTCAGCAGAATGGATTGTATAATGGTCTCATGTATCTTCTTTTACTTACTGTTTCCGCAAGACTTACGAAAGAATTAGGAATGGCACCAGGTGGTGAATTTCGTACAGCATTTGCCGAGGTATTGAAAAACATTCATAACACATTACTATTACTCATGGGCTAGGACGTAATACTATGCATAAGTATACATATAAGACACATGAATTCTCAAGTTATACTTTAATATGCCAGGTAAAAAAAATTCCAAACTGCCTGATTCACATGGGTGATCGTTCAATCAGTATAACCATTCAGCGTGCACTGAGTTTCTTATCCTGGCGGCAAACCCTTAAGTTAGTATGGCATTTGCTAACATCACGAGATTGCATTACCAAGGAAGACATCGAGCGTTGTAAACGTCGGGATCTCCTCGAGGAGACCCTGGCCGAAATGACCGGAGAGTTCCCAGCACTGGGTGAAGTTTTCGTCAAGGAACGTGACATCTATCTAACGCATTCTCTTCAGCTGGCCTGTCTACCTCAACGTACACCAAATGGATTGACCCCAACTCGAGTCGTAGGTGTCGTCGGCATTGGTCACGCGCCAGGTATTGTACAATACTGGGGAAAGGTGAAGCCGTCGGAGATCGCTCCTATTCTAAGGTACGTAATCCTTATTGTAAAATTCTAAAACGCCTACATATCCTTCTAACTCTATTAAATATCTCAACAGAATACCACCGCCCTCGCTCTCCAGTAAAATACTGCGACTGACCATCAAGGCATCCTTAGTAGGAGCAGTCATCTACGTAGGTTACAAAATCATTCCATTGCCATCCGGAGTAACTTTCCAATCAGTCAAGTCGTCGGTCGAGGGACTTTTGAAGGTCAGTGCTACCCGATAGAAAAACACATCATTTTCGTCCTTGGCGCTGCGATAACTGGCCGCCGCATTTTTATCAAAGAGGATCCTTTTCTTTTATTTCTCTGCTGCTTAATCCTGAAGTGTCTCGCCAGATATCTCGGCTATTCCGTTGACGCGCAGTCAGGGTAAGCATGGAAGCTGTAACTCGCGAAGACGAGTACGAGCACGTGACACTCGACGTAATGTACATAACGAGTAACATACCAGGACCGGGTGTAAATCTTGATGACTTTGAATCAGAATTTAGTCATGGTTGCACCTGTAAGTCAAGCTGTACAACCTCGTGCTCGTGCACGCGTGGCTTCCTAAACTACACTGACTCTCGTATAAACCAGGACAAACTATCCGGACCTGTAGTCGAATGTAACAGTAATTGCAAGTGCGATATCAACTGTGGAAATCGCCTAATTCAACATGGTCCGCTAGACTGTCTAACAGTGAGAGAAACACAGAGCAAAGGTCTCGGTCTGGTTACAGAAAAGATCATCAGGAAAGGACAGTTCATATGCGAATACGCTGGTGAGGTGATAGGTCTCGAGGAGGCCAGACGTCGTGTCGAAATTAATAAGAGGACCAACAGTATGAATTACGTTCTTGTTGTCTCTGAACACGTCAGTAGTAACACTATTGTCACCTGCATAGATCCAAAGTATTTCGGTAACATTGGTCGCTACGGCAATCACAGCTGTCAACCAAATTCCACCCTGGTACCTGTCAGAGTCGAAGGTGTCATACCGCGACTTTGCCTATTTGCATCCAGGGACATTCAAGCAAATGAAGAAGTAACTTTTGATTATGGAGGAGGAGTAGAAAATTCCGTCCAGGTTCACAGCGATACACCCTGTCTTTGCGGCGCTGACAATTGTCTTAGTTATCTGCCTCATCATCCAATCTAAATATCATTTATGGTTCATGGATATCTAGAAGGTACAATAAGAAGTTAGGAATTTGTTGTATCGCTAATATTGATAATACAATCAATCTATCAATTGATTGATTGATCAAACTCTTACTGTAAATTCCATGCTCTATCGTTTTAAGTTAAAACTTTTTAATGATTCAGTCATCGTATTTATATACTTATGACATGTTCAGAGCGCCATTAAAATTTCCTATATATTCGGCACGAATGTTCATTGTGGAAATAGGGGATGAAATTGAGGCAGATCATGGTACTGTTTGACCTATGATCTATGTGTTTCTGAATTGTTTTAATCGTTCCTTATGTACGTTCGTAGCTGAATGCGAATTAAACTGTGTTCGAGCGCGCCTTTCGGCTAAAAATATAATTTCTATTTCTTTCTTTTCTTTCTTTTTAATCAGGGACCCTGCGATAACACATTTGCATAATGAATAATAAAAATTACGAAAGTATACACGTGCCAAACGGTTGCACAGCGTGCAGCGAACACTCGATACTCAGTTTTATTCGTCACGTTTTGCAAATAGCTCTTGTCTCGATTAATTAACAGTACACAGTTATTACCAATTTATAACCTTTCGCGCTGATATGCTTTTATTTTCACGTTATCAACTAATTAGTACCGGTAATTATCTCATGAAAGTCCTTGGGACTCCTGAGCTCTTGCGTGCGACTCGAATACCTTTGGTTACTGGGTACTTCAATGTATAATTAGTTTAATACCGATCAAACTATAGCATTATTCATTCAATTATTTTCATTATCACGTTCTGAAGTAATTATTTTCACCAAGCGGTGCTGTTGCTTTATTACGAGTTGCTTCATTTAGGATTAGTTTAAATATAATATATTGCGCACGTTGGGCTTGAAAGGGGATAATTTTCAATGAAAACAGTAAGAGAAGTTAGTAATAATATAAAAACAGATTTAAACGATTACCGAATGATATCATTAATCATGCATAATACTTATGACAACAAGACGCTTGATGCATGGATTTTCATATTTTCTAAAGATTTTATTTCATTTTTTTTGCTCTTTTTATCTTTATTTTACCTTCTCTTTTTTCCTATTCGTATAAACACATTCAAAACGCGGTGAATAGATACACTTTTTCAAATCACGTAAGACTGTTAACGATATTGAGATTGTTACAAGCTCTGCATCAGAGTATCCGACTTACATATATATATTTGAAACTACGATTAGCATATAATTTGATTACATCAATAACTTCTTGATAAGATTCAAAAGAAATAGGAAAAATAGCTTGTGTCGCAAGTGCGAGTCCGAATAGGTCGGAAAATCCTAGAGAAATTGAACTCTTATTTTTTGGTTTTTGTTTTCGTGATATCGCAGTGTTTTTCGTTAATCAAATTTTCTCTATTGTCGCTCGTAAATGTAAGCAAAATACAAGATATGCGAGATTCATAATACAACTTGCGACAACACCAATTAGCTAAGAAAACATCTTGTGTAATTTGGGACATAATATCTAAGAGAATATTGCTAATTTGTATGTTGTTAATGTTTGAAAGGCATTGCCAGTTGTTATATCAGACACTATAAAATGTTATTGATTTCTCATTATGCTGTCAATAAAGTGTAGAGGATATTTCATCATTTTGCATATATGGCTTTTAATGACTGTCCGTTACATTATACTCTCTTCGAATAATTTTATGGGGAATATCATAATGTCGAATTACCATCTGCATGACTTAAACTTTTAATATTACTGCCTTATAAAGAGGCAAGGAAGAATTTTATAATAGATTTTATTAACGATAACAACAAATTATGGGATTGTGGTATTTCCTTATTTCGGAATAGACTACATGCGCTGCTGTCTTTGATACAATAAGGAAATATTTATATTAATGCATCTATTGATGGAATTGATATTTGTATAATTATGTATAATTCTTTCTAGAGTGAATTGTTGGAATTAAATTTTCTGTAAACACTGATTAATCAGTGATTCATTGATACTGCACGACAAGGCTCATATAGGTTTTTCGGAATGCAAAATGGGACGAATGGCAATTTGTAGAAAAATAATGTAAAACGAAATAAATTTTTACAGAAACGGTAAGGGGCCACCTACGCGTAAAATAGGAAGATCCATTTTCTACGGGCACGTTAGTGAAATTGCGAGGTAAACTGCGATTACTTTATTGTGTCTGCAAATAATACAGTCTACATTTCTACTTGGGTATATAGAATATATTTTTGTTAGTAGCTATAATTTGTGTAATTACTAGTGTAAGAAAAAAGGACAGGTTCAGAGATCAGTTAGGTGATATTAGGAATATGCATAGATAAGTGTTGTAATCTTTATTATAATTAAAAACGTAATGTATTTTTTAACCAGGACTTTTCAAATTGACATTGGTTTATCCAAGATTACACCAGTTAACATCACAACTTTAAAGACTGTTCACATTACAATTCAAATACATTTAATGTGATTTTTTTAATATGATAAAGCATGTATTATCTACATAAACAGTTTTCATCTAATTTATGTATGCATTAACAAGTAACACGTGACATAGAAGATGATTTTATTTGTTGTATCTTTATTGCGATTTAACGATTCAACATCGGTAGGTGTCAGAATGTACAATAGTCTCAAGCGAATGTTAAATGGAAATTCTATTTCCGCCAGTGGCAATGTTTAGTACAGAATAACCGTCACTTGAGACTTTATAATGAATAACAAACCTTATGAGTATTTTTATTTAACGATTCGAGGATAAATTACAATGTTGGGTATGAGTAAAGGACAGTGATACGCTAACTCATTCAATGAAGTCTTGTTTTTAAGTGGATTCTAGTGTGCTTGCGTTGCTGTTCCTGATTCATTATCAGATTCGTTGCTGTATTTCCAACGCCACCAGGTAACCTTCATACGATCCCAAATGTTCTCCCAGGAATCCATTGCTGGCCTCACGTCGAGAAGTGCAAATTTGTATTTTTCGTCAACTTGTCCGCCGTCATAGTAATCAATGACATATCGCACGTTTTTTCCACATCTGTCGACGATCCAGTCATGACGATCGAATGGTAATTCGTAACTGTCAGGAAAAGTCAAAAGAGATTATGTTAGGATAAGAATTTTAATATGATTATTGAAGAATGTGTAAAAGTTTATATACCCCATCCAGTGACGGATTCGCGCACGTGGAGAATAATCGGAAGCTTTTCCACCAAAACTTTTCAATTTAGGATTTCCGCATTCACGCGCATGAAGTGCTTCCCACTTTAGTACTTCTTGCCATGCTTGCTCATTGTTGGCATTGTGAATTTTTATAATATCAGCCATGTCCTTTGGTGCAATATCCTCTGTTTTCCAACGCCATCCTTTTCTGAGCATGGCATTCCAAAACATTTGTTGGGATGGATATACCCAGAACTCTCCTTCGCCAGTGGCTTTAGGGATAGATGAGACTTGTCTATCTGTTGGCAATGGGAATGGCTGGTCTGGTGCAGGTTGCTGATTTGCTGGTGGCATCTGGAAGTCTTGAAAGGTAACTTGACAGTTCTTTGAGTGATTAACATTATACTTAAGTGACATACCATATTTAGTGGATTAACATCACTCTGATCATGTTGTATGGGACACTCGCTGGGAAAGCTGGTTGGCTGTTCTGTCTTTGGTTTATGCATGGGACATTCTGGTGGTGGTTCACCCTCAAAAGACTTATGTACATAAGACTTTGGATTCGGAAAGTTTTTTTGAGATATCGGTGTAATGACTTCAGCAGCTGATATCGAAGCTGTGGTGAGTGTATTCCCCATATTGGCCTTTTATTGGGTACTGCAAAAATGTTTAAATCCAATTAAATCTTGATGTTTATCAATACTGTTTATACAAATATATATATTTATAAAATTTGATTAAATAGCAGTAAGCAACCCTTGACGTTCTGTTCAGTGCAATCAACTTGATAAATCATACGATTGCGAAACAAACCTTGGTACGAGCAGACGACGGTGGATTTATTATATAGGTTAGGGATATACCCTGCTTTTATTTATGAACGTTCCGTATAGAAATAAGATCGTCACGTTATAAAAATAAGTACGGAGTAAATAAACATATCTCTAAAAACAATTATTTATAATACAGTATTATTTATTCTTTTAACTAATTTATAACGTAAGCCACTCGGCACTTACCAAAGGATGATGTAATTTATCAAGTCAAATTAAAAGGTTATTCTTCGTTTATACTATTTCATACATTACGTTGCATCGAATAAAATCTATGTTAAGAATATATTGCTTCATGAAGAGATGTATACTTTAAAACTGCATTTTTCTTTGAGAACTGAAACACCTGAATTCCGAGTTCTCTGGCCAAGTACTATACATATAGAGCTTTCACAGGCTTGTAAATCAGACCCTGATTGGCTAAAGTCTGTGACATTGTACAATTTTTGCCAATGAAACGATAATCTGTTTCATATTCTCTGGCGCTGTAGTAGCTGAAAGTGGAAAACAAAAAAATGCGCACCAAATTTCAAACTAAACACGCAAATGAAGGAAGCGAAAACAGTCATGTTCTTTCTCCGATTGCTTCAATTTTCATACTTCTCAATTAATATTAGTATAAATTGTTTGCCGCTATCACGCATCAAGGAAGTAAATAATAAAGAAAAAATAGGGAAAGATAGAAGATGATAGAAGAACTTATATTTCCACTAGAATATATAAGATGTTAACATATATATATATATGTAGCGGATGCATATATTTATAATGAAACAGTTCGTAAGATAAACAGAAAATGGCAAGCTTAGAGGAAATATCCTGGAGGTGAACTCTTGAAGATGTACATCATCAAAATGTTTGCGAAGATGATCGATGAAATCCTGCGAAAATGATATCATGTAAAGATAATAATTTTCAAGAAAAAACTAAAGTTAAAATAATGACGTATTACTTCTATTGCCCCCACGACTTCCTCTAGGCATGATACCCCTCATATAGTGAGACGGGTACCATGTTTCTGGTCCATAAAGTGGCGGTGGATTATAATTCAAATCATACCCTGGATTCCAATGAAAAGGGTAATTTTCCTATTGATGATAAAGGTTAAAATATTACTAATAACCTAATTGATTATGTGTTTAAAGGTTTACAATGCATACCTCGTAATTAACCGGTACAAATATAACATTGTACTGTCTATTGTAATGATCCGACGAACTTCTCACGGAAGGTCTATCTCTCTCTGTACTCCAATTTCTCTCTCTCTCTATAAATCTCTCCTGTCTCCCATTTGAAAGATTTCTTGATCTTCCTTGATAAGATCTATAAGATGGCACACTCACTCGCAAAGATCTATACATACATAAAATTAAAATATTATAAATTGAAAGTTAACTTTTTTGATTCACAATATGAACCTTTGACGATTATCATTGCGAGTTTGCTCATATTCTTCTGTACGTAATCTTGGCTGTTCTATAGAATGGGAACGATCTCTGGATCTAGATCGTGAAGATTGAATAGCTGTCGTTGTTTTCTCCAACTCCTTGACACTGTAGGGAATAAGAAGTTACTAGAAGAGAGATACGCAGTGATACTTGAAGGGAACAATCACACATATACATATGCAGAAAACCTACCTTTTCTTTATGTGACTTTCACCACGTGTTGAATTTTCCTGAGGATGTTCAGTTTCTTCCAGTCTTTATGAAAATATATTAAATTTTGTGTTATGATCATGCAATCACTATATACAATTTTGTATTAACAAATGGGGAGGTAATAATGATTGGACATTTATAGATTACTAGAATCACTATGGCTTCAGTAGAATAACTTCTTTAGACGTTAGACAGAACAAAACATACAGATGCCTACTTGAGTTTTATCTTCAACGCAGAATTTTAGGCGCACGACTTACGTTTGTAATCATTATCACTGACATGAATTTATCTTCACATGTTGGAGTATCATTTGTGGTCGCGAGTATTAAAGAGAGCATACGATTATTGAGATCGTCAAAAATAAACCTGTGAAAATTACTATAGAGGCTTGTAAGTATTAGCAAAGTTAAAAACTCAGAATATTACTGCAAAGGAATAGCAATGACTTTAATTTTTTATGTTGACGTTAATTATAGTCTTTCATCTGCATTTTAGTTTTAGCAAATCTGTAGGAAATTATTAAGAGTACAACATGGTTTCACTAAGTCATAGTAAAGAAATTTCGAATGCCTTCAAGAATAGATGCATGTAATGATTAAGAGAACTAATTTCAGGTACTGTTGAGATAAATGTTCAATAATAATTGTTTTGAGCAGATTTTTGACAAACCTAAAATTATTATCCATCGACACGCGTGAAGGTGTGCGGGAACGATTTGTCGCTGTACTTTCAGAGCCTATAATTTCTTGATGGGAGTATGATCTTTGATCTTCCTTAGAAGTACCAGGTATAGCCATCTGACCTTGATCTTCATTCAATTCAGTCTGGTCAGATTTCCGCCTAATTTCTTCTCCTATCATAAACATTCATTTATATTAGTAACGCTCTGGAATCATTCATATAATCAAGTGTTCAAAGAAACTTATAACTGTCAAATTCATTCTAAATTTAAGAGATGGTTACTATGATTATCATACATAAAAAATGTTTATATATCTTCTAGACGAGAAGACATTTTTGTAAGAATACAAAAAAATAAACTCATTTAAATCTTCAAAAACATTTGAATTTGATAAATCTTCTTTAATTTTATGCTGACGGTTTCATACTGTTTCTTCGCAAGTCTTTACTCGCATTATCTTCGTGATGTTAATATTCTGTACTGACAAATTGATTAAGATCAATTGAATTAAATCATGCAAATAAAAGAAGTTAGATGAACTTGGCATTATTGCGGATTTAATATCTTCATTTACCGCCTTATTTTACTCTTCCGGTTGTTGTATCTTCCAGATGCACAAAATCTTCCGGTTGTAGTTTGAATAGAGTATTTTGAAAATAACTTTAAAAGTTACAATTATATGAAATTCTATAGGAACTAATGTTATAAATATAGAAAGCTGACTATTAGAAGAATTTTTCTTTATAGAAATGTAAAATCAAAATTAAAGAATATTTTTTTTCAGAATGAAACTGATGATTCAACAAGACTCGAAACAGTAAAGCGTTTACTTAAATGTTCCGCTTAACATTGCACTTACAAAGTTTTCTAGTAAGATAATAAATATCAATGCTAACAATATGCTAATATAGAGAATTATTAAGCTTACAGCCATTGCGTCATACACAAATATCCTATTCCAATAATGTAACTCCATGTGAATTAGGTTTGCAGTGGAATAAAAACTCTTGATCCATAAGTATCTTCAATATGATAAAATTGATTCTTCGATAGACGATCCACAGTGGCTGCTCTTCCTTGATCGATGATCATTGTCCATTGTCGTACTATACTTTTTCATGAAACTTCTTTGACTGTAATAAGAATATATATGTTCCACGTGGAAATTAGTTAATTATGAAAGTATATCTTAAGTAAATAATATACCCTTGGTGCTAAAATTAACAATTTTACTAGAGTTTGTACTGCCATTACAAGTAGGCTAGATCCAAAGTGAATAAAAATATTCTTCATTAAACGTTCATGTCATTGCCTTTAATTGGTGAATTTAATTCTTCCACAGACGATTCATGGTAAATGATCTTCATTTGTTGTTGGCCATCTTTGTTGTATTGTTTCTTTCTTTTAGATCTGTGACTATAATTAAAATCAATATGCTCCAGAATACAGGCATATTCCTTCATATTTCTTTGACAGAGAATATTTTGTGAATACAAGATATCTATCTCACCATGTTATATCTTCAGTGCTGCCATCAGATATATTAATCTGTTCAATTAAAAAAAAAAGGAAAAAGACGAATCACTTTACCCTCTTGTCTATATACTATTTTGACTTCTCTGCGCTCTGTATCTGTGACTGATAGGCTCCTCCTACTTGAAGACTCTAATCTAAAGGAAAAATATGTATTTATTTTTCCTAAAGAAACACAAATTAGAGACCAATTTTTCCCATAAATATCTATGCATACCTTTCACGAGTATTTTTAGACCTCAAAAGTGCTAGTCGTTTTTTTAATCTATTTAAAATAAGCGATAATCTACTTTCGATGGTTTGGAAATTTTCATGACGACTAGATAGAAATCTAAATAAATGTCTGTCACAGTCCGTAAGACTTCTTCTACAAATTCTTTGAATTTCATGATCAAAAATATTTTTCTGTACATTTAATTCATGTGACATTTTTCTCATTTGCTGGATCAACCATTGTGTGTTGCATGTATTTTTTTGCGATTCAGGAGATTTATGGCTGCGATATCTGTTGGGCCTCATATCTGCAATAAATATAAAATTCAATTTAATGCATAAATTAAATAGAATTCTATGTCCATTATTCAGTAATGTGACAACATCAGTAATACTCCGTAAAGAAGAATAGGAATTCTAGGTTATGTGACATAAACAAAACCATAAAGGAAAACTGAACAAAAGTATTAGATAAGTGGCTAAAACAAATTTGTTTCTTTTAATCAACGCTTAATTAAATTTAAATTTAGACATTTTTAAAGCTTTTATAATAAATATTACGCCACATTCACTCACTCATTTTGCGCCTCCAATATTACCACCTTCGGTATCAAGATTCAATCTGTTTTTCTTATTTTATTTTCTATCTCTAAAAAATTTCTTTTTTATTCATTCTCTTATTTCAATAGGTTTTGTGTATGTATCTTCCTGGTAGAAATATGTAAATGATCAACACTTACTTTTCCTCCAAACCTTTTTCTTTCTTACTCTCATGTAAAGAATCGAAAATTGTTCGTGTAGTTATTGCGTGTAGAGTTGGTCTCTGCATGGCATCATCTATGAGTAAAAAGAGCATAATGAACAAGAATCAATGGACGAATTTATTTAATGCCTTTTTTATTTAAAATACTTATACTATATACATTCAGTACAGACAGTAAAAATACCGAAATCAAAAACTACTAATTATGTGTACGTTTCGGTATATACAAAATAAGAAAGTTTCAACGATTTAAAAAAGATTTCGCCACAAATGTGCCTGTCAATTAATAACTCTTCGTCCAATAATCTACAATACTGATAAACGAGAGAAACGAAGAAATATAAACAAACATGTCCAATTATTATTATTAACCCTTAACGGTCATCTGGGGTCACAAGGACCCCAACCTAACGTGTGATCCGTATGGAAACTCTACTCCAGTTTGACTGTAGGTTGATGCCTAGTGTGTAGTTTGAACGGATGGCTAATACAAAAAAGTTTATCTATCTAACAAAACAAAAACTTTTCCTTATGGTAAATTGTATGAAAACATGAATCCAAATTTCCACGAGGATTGGTCAATGGCCTTTCCCATTGTCTAATCAAAGACCGATTCTTGTACATACAAGTTCCTCGGAAACCTATTAGCAAAGTAGTACAGCTTCCTTAGGAACTCGAAGACAACTTACGAAAAAACGTGATTAATTCCTTGCGATTTTCGAGGACTCCTTATTATCATTAACATGCTCTAAATCTAGACCATCATATTCTAATGTTCCGGCGTTATCATAATAGGCATAATCATAATCATTCTTTTTAGTGGATTTCGGTTTTGCTGTTGTAGCATCCAGAGATTTTGTTGTAGAGAAAGGCCTGGCAGATCCACTAACAAATGTAGCACCTCTTGCTGTTGTTTGGGATTGTTGTGGCCTTTGTGTATTGGCGCTGAAAGTACTCGGACTGTAAGTACTGGGTCCTGGACTTCTTCTATTACAAAAGAAAAAATATTAAACAATAATAACACTTGTAGTATATTTTTTTTCTACAGACTGTGTCTCTATGAATTTCAAAGTACCTGGGGGCAGGTGTTGTTGTCTTGGGAGATTCAGCAAGATGATTGATGCTAGCTGGACTGAAGCCAATACCAGGAGAAGATTTATTATAGTCATAGTTGTTATAGTTGCTTGTACTGCTCTCATAGTATTTTCCACTATTATCATAGTTGTTGTACTGCACAGGTTTTTTTGTTGCCCTTGTAGAATCGTAGTACTGAGTGGATTTTTCTCCTTGTGTTTTATCAAAGTACTGACCATTGTCAGTCAACTGTGAGTTGTAGCGGTCACTACCTCTGACTTTAGTCTGCGCTTGAACGTTGTCGTTGTTCAAATACTTTTTAGTTGTAGGACTGTACGTTGTCGGGACGTAACTACTTCCGGCATAGTTATTAGTAAAGTATTTTGTTGTTGTTTGGGCAGGTTCTTGCCTGGTAATGGTTGAGCTGCTAACTCTGTTGTACTGTCCGTTATTATTGGCGTTGTAATTGCTACCGCTGCTGTAGTTATCGTAGAAAGTAGAAGCTGCTGTTGTTGTTTGAAAGGGATTGGAACTAGAGCTACGTTGAATGTTGTTGTAATTTCTGTGCTGATAATTTGTATAATCATTCTGTTGATAATTAGTGCTCGATTGAATAGTAGTGGATTGGCTTTGTTGATTAAATTGATTATACTGATTGGTGAATCCTTGTTCATTATTATTCTTGTTGTTGTTGTTTCTGCTATTATAGTTATTGGGTCTTACAGTCGTAGTAGGACTTTGATTGTAGTTAGTCGCACCCTGTGTATTACTGTTGTATCCATTACCATTATAATTATTATATTCAGTCGTTCTAACAGTTGTACTTGGGGATTGATAACTGCTGTACGTTTCTTGATAATTAGTCGTAGGTCTATTGGTAGACGTAGGGGTGTTGTACTTTGGAGTATTTTGGTTCCTGTTGTAATTCTCCTGTGAACTAACGGGGCGTGCAGTTGTCGAAGAAGCAAAGTTCGTTACCCTCTGATTGTTAAAATTATTATTCCCATTGTAATAATTTCCATTATTAAACCCACTCGGGTTCTGCGCGGCAGAAGGTGGTGCAATGGTTGTCGAAGGAGAGTAATTGTTGTTATTGCTGTTGTTGTTTATATTATTTTGATTACCATTGTACTGTTGTTTCCTGGCAAGTTTCCTCACACCGACCTTCTTCCTTGGCTCTTGGACATTCTCCTCGCGGTAGGCCTTCTCGTTGTCGTAATCGTCCTCCTTGCCGTTGTTTCTGCTGCTGTAAAAATTGCTGCTGCTGCTTCCACGGAATATCTCCTTGTTATTATTAGCATTGCTATTGCTATTCGCATTTCCACTGTAACCATTGTTGGATGCTACTCTGTTCAAGTTATTAGCTGACGACCGGACAGCGTCACTGGTCTCGCTGCGCTGCAGATGATCCTGAGGTTCAACATCGTTGCGAATGCTATCATAATGTAAGGACTCCAGACCGGAACCAAGTCTATAGAGGTCAAAGTTGTCGCTGGCGTAGTAGAGGGTGGCAGCCTCGCAATCCACGTCGTACCAATCAGCACACGTCTGGCTCTCTTGATCAAAGGCGGTGTCATTTGGGCAGAGGAATCTGAGGTGAAATAAATTATTAAATAATTTGTCTTGTTACGGTACCACAAAATGGAGGTTAAAACAGATCTTAATTAATTACAGGATGTACACACCTGTAATCTTGGATGCTACCTGCTACCGAAACACAGACGTGGAAAAGCTGACAGTCGGTTTCCGGATCGGCGTAGTAACTTCCGACGATCTTATTCCGGCAGGTGAAGGAAGTGTCCGGCATGTACTGTTGAGAGTATCGTGGTGGTGGTCGCTGAAGAGCCAAACTGCAGCTCCAAAATATCGCGGCTGTACAGATTTATATTGTTCATAGAGTACAGTGAAACTTACTGGCATTAGTCTTTCTAGTATGTGCTATATATTTATATTGTGAGGAAAATCGAATATAATGTCTATATGGATGAGATAGCACGCTTCGTATATGGAGGTATTCTATATGCGTTTTCACGGTTCATGGAGATCCGAGCGTGATAGTCGCCGGATGTGGATAAACCTTTCTAATCAGAATCTACATAATAGGTGAGATATCCACGCAATTCTAAAAGCACGCACTGTTCTAGCAAATTGCATCGTATATGTACTGTCGTTCGCATTTACCAAGAACGCGAGAAATCGCGATGTTCATGCGTGAAAATGAAAATTGAAAATAAAAAATTCAAATTATAATAAAACGATTGATACAAAAACTCTATAGACTGCAACTTTTGAGAAAATAATAATCCAGTCTGATCGTTGTAAGTCGATTAAAATAACATATTTTTTATTTATTTAAAAGAAATTATAATCAGTATTCAGTAGGAATTAATCAAGTTTTATTAAAATTCTATATATATGAAATTCGCATTATCATTTCTTTTTCTTAATATACGATAATTCATGTTGTCTCTTTTTCTTAAACAATGAATGTTATCAAAGGGTCTAATTAAATCTCTACGTTTACATACCCAAAGCGATGACCAGCGAGGTCTTGTAAATAGGCATGACGTCCACTTAGATGCGATTCGAGATGGCAAAGTGTATTTTCACTTTCACGACTCGGACGATGACTTATTTTTCCTTTGATGTACCGTCTCAATGAAACTCGGGGATGCGACTGTGGTCCTGGCGGAGAACGGGTCGTCGAAGAGGAGCTAGAGATGGGACGGAGAACATCTGCATTCTGGGAGGATGTGGTAGCCCAGGTAGGGGCACCAGGAGAACGTACGAGAGACGTAACGTTTCGTTACGTCATTTGATACCCTTGCTACTTGCAAAGGGTCGGAAGTCCTCATCTTAGGAAGTCAGACCCGGAAAAATGTCTAATCGTCTGTAAGATAAAATAAATCAAATTAACAATATCGAAGAATTTCCCCATATGATAATCAGTACAAATTCTCTTATTTCAGCCGTTATAACAATTGTCAATTAATGAATATCTTTTTTCTTCCATTTTTTTTTATTATAGTTATATACTGTGTAATAGATACGTACACGTATGACTTTCGCGAAGATCATCACACACAACTTTGAACACGTGGGCGTGGCTTATCGTAGAAAAATATGGCACTTTCCATTGAATTACCGAGAAGGGAGTGCCAAAAGAAAGTGTCATTCGTGATACGTAAAAGCGCGACTTCCCATTAGGCAAGTCTTGCCTATGTCTTCCTCCTTTCCACCTTAGATAAAAAAACTTTTGACAAGGCGGTGCCTGAACCATTGGACTCAATCGTTTACTTTTTCTTCCTTCTTAAAATTCTTTCTTCTTTATCCTTTTCCACCTTCTGGAATTACGCCATTGAACAATTAGCACGATGTCTAGCTTTATGTCCGCACTTGAGATTTATTGTTTAGTTTTCTTGCTCCTACGCCCTTATTACTGTAACATGCGTTGCCGACATCTTCTGGCATCTTGAATCGCCATGGGAGTGCTGTACTGCATTCCAACATTGCAGAGAATTATTATAAAAATAGTAGTCACATTGACTACTAAGATTTTAAGTGATTCAGATAATGGTACTATATTTTTGCTACCGACAGAAGACTCCTTTGAAGGGGCACAAAGTAAATTAATGATAATGTAGATACAATTGAGGTAAAATAAAAAAAATAGACAAGAATAATACAATGGGAGTATAAAAAAAATTAGAGTGGTCATAAAATTCGTGTAGGCAGATTCACCTGTAGCTTGAAGATCGAGGTCAACACCAATTGTACTTTCGTAACCGTCCAATTCAAAAGTTGCCTCCAAACGAACAGCTCATCATCGCTAGTGTCTTCTGATCTTGGGAAAAAATTTGCCTTGAGTTCTATCCCGGATGTCACGAAAATTAGTATTGACTCATCAGTATTCTTTGTAACTGGCAAAAATCATAGTTCACTAGCCATTCTTCTTTTTGTACAAGGAAATCAAAAATGAAATCATTTAGTAAAATGTTCGTAATTATTTTTAGGACGGTGAACCAAACTTTTTACTACCATATGACAAGGACTCACTTTTATGTATATATAAAATTAGTCTAAAAACTGATTAAAAATTTTCTGCCATTCCAGGATTCCTGATGCACATCGAATGATAATAAATGGCGTGACGAGGTCGCATTTTCATGAAATATTCAGCGCAAGTTGATCGGCTTCATTATCGAGGACCCACTCTCCTTTGCCGTGGGAAAATATACCGGTGAACGTAGAGGGTCTCCTTAGAATTTCATAATTTTCTGTCCTCGCAATGGACAACAATAATAATGACGAAGTGTGCCATTGTATTTTCAAACATCTTCTGGCATCTACGTCGTATCAGAATTGTCACTTTCCCTAGGCATTACAATATCCACCAGATTCCATTATCACGTCAGTACAACGAACATGAATGAAAACACGTATACAGATATGCGCCACAAGTTCCTTATGGCGAGCAGTATTTCATGATTAGCCAAGAATTCTCATCCAGTAATTAACAAGTCAGCCATTACGTTTCCAATGACCGACCGATGGTTCCATTACGCGCGATGAGCCTGACACCAGGAATCTTCTCAGCCTTGGAGGGCGAAAGTTGTCTTGTAAGTACAACTCCTTCCCCCCCCCCCCTCTTCCCCCATAGATATTAACATCTAGTATATTTACACCAAGACACCGTCCAGGGAAGAAGCTCCTGAAAATAAGAATATCACGGCATATATCCACCAGGTGTATCCGCAAACGATTACTGGACAAATAATAACATATACTCCCACAGTAATTGCATAGATTACAATTATTACATAGAGAGTATAACAACCTGACATTAGTTAACTGTTACAGCAAGTTGAATTAACCAGAGCATCAGTATCCCAAAGGAATACGTTTCCCGTCCACGAGTACTTGGGTAAAAGGTTGAAGGTCTCGACCTTCCTCCAAGATGGGCCACGACGAGAATCGCTAGTCGGAGAAAGTAAACAGCAAACTTCAAAAGGTCAGACCTGCCGAACGATCGACGTTGAGGATGAGAAGATCGTGTTCCTCTGTACAAAGATCTTCTGACTCTGTAAGGATTACTGAGTGAGTCTGACATTAAGTAATACCACAGAGGCTATATATTTGATAAGAAAACATTACTCCGATCCCTCCGATCAACATAACCTATACCATATTTAAATTCCAATCTACAATAGGAGGCTGTAGGTCTTACTTAAGCGGATGGATAAGCGTGCTAAGTGTATGCGAGTACATATCCCTCTTCCGTCAGGCAGAATCCTACTAACGATCTGTACGCTGATAGGTCAGCCTTGAAATATGGCTAATAACACGCCGACCAACTTTATACGAATTCGAACTAGTGAAAGTACGATGCGCTGGCAATAACTTCTACCTATGGCAGTTTAAATTACTAGTACTGTATGTTACAAGTATTAGTATCTTATATAGAATCTATGTATATATGTATATATATATATGTATAGGATACACGTACCATTCTCTAAAGATCCTATCTATCGTTATATTCTTGTTGGAAATTGATTTTTAAGAGAAATGCTCCTTGTGCCTTTACAATAGGAAATCCGGCTACTCTCTTGATCCCTTTACTAATGGAGATCCTGTATGCAAGCAGACTGTATATAACTCTGTCTCTACCGTTATATGCTACTGTATTGACTAGTCTATGTACGTTCAATGCTCGCCTCAGTATTATGTTGCAAATACGAGCAGTCATTATGAGAAAATGGCTATTGGCTACTTCGTAATTCAAAAATACAATGGGTAATGCCTAAATGTGAATCTTTAGACTGGATAGATATATAAGCATTGAGTATAACTTGGAGTTAGGCTGATGGACTAGAAGCTGACGGCCTTTGAGCTGGAGATTAGTGATCTCAAGTGAACGGCTAATGATGGGTATGCATATACTGTTTCACAATTATTACAACCTTACGGTCAATGGTACATACTGCGCGTAATTTTATAACTGATATTTTTCAACATGCAGACTACACGTATATAGGTAGATAAGAAAAAAGATATTCAATTGATTCACGTTGTACCCTATCAGCAAGAATAAACGATATGATTATACGATACAGGGTAAAGAGCTGTTCAACCAAAATAGTTTTCGAACGTTTATTTTAATACAATTGAAATTCATCAGGCGTCTTCAGTCATACGCAATAAAAATTGTTCACATTCCACGAAGCAGCCACAGACCCACCAGGGAATTGTATATCTGATACGTTCAATGAAGCAATACGGTAATGTTGCATGTCGCTATTTTATCTGATAAACAGCATCGTACTTATCCTATAGTATACTATATACAGTGTATATCAACTCCACTCTTACAACAGGATGTCGCAGCAATCAATGATATACTATTCGATATATAATGTTACGTAGCTTATTTATATATGTAACTACCTATAGTAATCTCATTATAGCTTGCATTTAATTTCTAGTATAGATGCTGGGCTTCTAACGTTATATAGTAACGTTACTCGTAATCCGTGCATGCTCGACGAAGACGCTCCTCAGAAGTTGAAGACGGTAAGGCCTCATCTCCACGTGAGAAAGTGAAAGCCAACAACTTGAGACCCCGGAGTACCGCATCCCGGTTCGAAATCGGGTTTCGAACAAGAAGACTGGTATCGAGCAGTCGAGTATCGAACAACTGTCCGATCATCTTGAAAATGTAAAGATTTACACTTAATATATGTATATATATTCGTTCTAGTTTATCGACAACTTCCTTACTGGAAATTCATTAGTTGGCTCGAGCGAGCACGAGTTCTCTTTAATGGCAGCATTCTTTGCTCTTTATGGGATATCATTTGCCCATATCACTTTTGCTCTAGAGCTTTTACTGTGGATGGAATACGTACGTTATAAATATAAGGATACGTGTTTGTTACATATATTCCAATGTTTTGTATATACCTTAATTTCATTATTGGCACAATGACAGAAGTTGAAATATTTTTTTAGAATATCCTTCATATTCAATTTATATAGTTTTTCTTGGGACTGTCTACCAACAGGCTGAGTATCAACTCATCTGGAAAATTATGAGTGATTCATTAACGGTAGCTAATCGTTAACATTCCCATGTAAAACTTTCTCGTTCCTGAGAGACGATTATCGGCTTTTATTGTAGATTGAAAAGCAATCCATAATTGAACTTTAATTAAATGTAATTTGTATGTTCGGTACAGTGTATCTGTATACGTATTATGTATCTTTAAGAAGACACTTCGTTCCAAGTATTATTATTTCTGTTTCTTTAGAATAAAATCAAAAATATATCTTTGGCACAGAGATAACATTATCTCCAGATTTTTACATGACTACTTCATAGCGACCCATTATTAATCACACTATATCCTCTTTATGCATACGAAGACACTTTCTAGATTCCTTAGTCAAATTTATTTAAAAGCCTCTACGTCGCGTAAGACTAACATAGCCGTGCTAAAAAAATTTATAATCGCAGGTCATAGCTGCAGCTCATTCGCAAGAGACGGAATAACTTTCACCTCTGAAATGCCTGTCTTACGCGCTAAAATCTTACGTACTGTGCGTATGCCCTAATACGCATATATATACTTATCCTTACGCACTGCTACAGTGCCCTCGTTTAACGTATAAACACTCCATTAATGTATCAAAAAGTGTGTAATTCAAGAATCTTTACGTATGTGTCTATATATATATACATATCTATATACTTTCAAATGAATGCTTACAGATATACTATACTATACACATATAATATATATATATACACACACTAACTATATATATATACACTAACGAGCAATATATGTCTTCAGGGCGCTACTGAAATTCCCTACGTTATTGTGTTCGCGTTTGCCTGTAATTTGCGCAACGGGAGTAGAGCCGTATACGCAATTCCCGTGAGAAGTTTTCGCAGTACTCCAAAGGGACAAGGGGAGCTGCGTGACTAATTAGTTGTGCGGCTGGAATAACAATGCCAGGTGAGTGCACGCTGGGTGCTCGACGTTGACAGTACGTGTGAAGTTGCATTAACGATTATTAAAAAGCAAAGAGAAAAACGTAGTTGATCTTTTCGTATATCCAATCACACGGAGTGTCCAGTCCTATGATAAAATCCTTAATTTCTTCCGTATAAATGCACATCCATACACACGTATTTCACTGCAATAATATGATTGGATCATTAATCCACGTATTTGTATTCTCTGTTTGAATAATCCAGGCACAGGCAACGTACACTATGTGCAGGGACGTTCATTAGTGAGAAATGGTGCAATTTCGTGATTCTCTCACCAGAGTAAAATCCTGTACTTATACAGGTTGTACGACACCGTAGAACGTTCAGTTCACGGGATTCGAATGCGGATGGGTCTTGTGAAAATGTTGCATAACCATAATCTCTGGCTTGGATGAAGAACTTGTGATGAGTTGTTTTAGAAGCTTTTTCGTATTTGAATCACCTAATAGAATAATAATTAATAAACTGCCTAATTCCTTATCATATCATTTCTCTGAAGGTTCTATGTGGTGTATGTAATTGAGTGGTTAAAGATTTATACTATATATAAATCTATTGTATATATTTTGTTAGTAGGATCATACGTACCGGTAGAAATATTACAATTGTCTTTCGAATCTGGTACAAGGATAGGATTGTTGCAAAAAGAAATCCTGTCGCCCGGTTTCTCAATAAAGTATATAGGTACATGAATCCATGGGCATTGTAAGGCTGTCACGTATATTACCGTCATTTCCTAAAACAAGTATATTCTTGCTTGAGTTGTATTTTTGATTATACCAACAAAAATATTGTTTGGCTTTTGTATTATATGTATATGTATATGTAACTTTGGTGTTTTCAGGTTCAATGGTATCTTTTAGCAACGAACTTGGATCGCATCGTTTATGCGTTACTCTTTCGCAATTTTACTTTCTCCGAACAGGTTTATCCGTTGGGTAAGTCTTTGGTAGGGTCCAACACATACGTGAACAGGTACACGTTCATATTTTGCCGATAAGGTTGTATTATAATTAAATCGGATATACGCCATGTTTCCGTAAATTCCTTTCATTGTTCGTGCTACGAAGTTGTATTACAAGATTGGCCAAAAAGCAAACGCTTGCGTCAACGCTTGAAATAATTATAATAATGGGCGTCTTCCTCAGATGTATCGAATATTTTTCATGACACAGAAGAAAGACCATTGTTTTGTATTATTGTCTACGAACGAGCGTTTGATAATTCAAATCAAATTCAATTCTTAAAAGTGAACGTTATTGTTGGAGTCAAATGTGTTAGATATAATATATGTATATATTGAGAAATAAGAGATATGATTGATTGCTATATTTAATTAAATACATTAATTCTTTTAGCATTTTTAATACTGTTTTAGATTCTACAAAATTTCAAAACTATTATTATTAATTAGAGCAGTTTCATACAATATATCATAGACTGTTTTCTTCTTCTACATTGTGTAATATAATTCAGTGATGCCTAAGAAGATGCTGGGTTGTCATTGCACAAGTACCAGGAAGTTGAATTATATGAAAACAAGACAAATATACATATATGTATTTATACATATACTAACCCCGCGATACGGAAATACGAGATTGAAGGAAACTCATCATAGCTTTGATCCGGAGAGTGTGGATTTCTAGTTTTATAAATATGACGAAGCGTCATTACCAAAGTATAAAGCGTCGTGGGAGGACAACTAGGATCTCACAGTAGACACGATTATTTCATTATGTCGCTACTTATGCAGCAGAAGCTGTCTCTCGCAATTATTACATGGTTTGTACCAGTACATATAACGTATGAACAGCCATTTTTTTTTCACGGCTACCGGGTTTCTGTAACAGTGAATATATAGGAAGCTGTGGCGTAACTATAAGAAGCCATGAGATTCTTCCTGCATTTAATTTTACATTAATGTTGTTACATTCATTCTGTCTTTTTTTGTCGAGCATGGTGAAAAATTGTTGAATTCTTTGTATAATTGAAGTATTCTATAATTTTTAAGATTATAGCTTCAGAATTACCAATTGCAATATTCGGAAAAAGTATTAAATGAAATAAAGATTCACTAATTACTTATATAAACAGTACATAGTACAGCAAGTAGACAGTGCAAAATAAACGTAACAGACCATTTCTAACAAGTTGGTCTGTACTTTTAAACGAGTAAGATATTGAAACAGGCTGAATTAAGAAGTTATCCCAGGTTAGTCATACGACTAAAAAATTAGGCGCTTCATAATTTTCAAATGAAACTATTTTGATCAATCAGAAACTTTGTTTCCTAAGGTTTCTGAGAAATACCCCAAGCTACATAAAATTGTATAAAATCAGTTACTTAAATAAAAATTGTAACATCTAAACAGTAAATAATTTCATTACTACAGATGGCTCATGAGTGTGTACAAGTTGCTGTCAGAATACGTCCATTGGTGCAATCTGAAATTAATACAGGGTGCCAAGTATGTCTTGATGTTGTTCCGGGTGAACCACAGGTACAATTGCGGGGCACAGAAAAATCTTTTACATACAATCATGTCTTTGGGGCTGATATTGAACAAGAGGATTTCTATAATACTGCTGTCAAAGGAATGGTGGACAATATTTTCAAAGGTAAATTGATGTATTTTGTATTAAGAGATTGTATTAATGTAAAAAGAGCCACAAGTAGTATACTTTGTATTAATGTCAAAGTACTGTTTTATCTATGCTATAATAATTTCTTCAATCAAATTCTAACATTGTTATTGTTTAGGGTATAATGTAACGATCTTAGCCTATGGCCAGACAGGTAGTGGGAAAACCCATTCAATGGGAACTTGTTACAACGGTGGACCAAACATGGGTGTAATTCCTCGTGCTATTCAAGATATATTTAAAATATCAGAAGCAAAACAGGAGTATGACATAAAAGTCTCAATTTCTTTCCTGGAGCTGTATCAGGAGCAGCTCTATGATCTTTTAATGGATAAGCCACGCAGTCAATGTATTGTCGACATTAGAGAAGATTCTGTAAAGGGCATCACCGTATCTGGTTTAACAGAAATTGAAGTTAATAATATAACTGAAACTTTTGAATGCCTCACACGAGGTTCACTGCGTCGCGCAACAGGTGCGACAGCTATGAATGCTCATAGTAGTCGAAGCCATGCAATTTTCACAATTTATATTCGACAGGAAAAGAAGGGCGATCCGTAAGTAGACATCATAGTAGCTTTAATAAAAGTTTTGCTTTGAATAAATATTGTATTATTCCATTACAATCTTCTAATAAAATTTTATGTGTCCTATTCAATCAGCAACAGCGCAACAATTGCTAAATTCCATCTAGTAGATTTAGCAGGTTCCGAAAGAAGTAAAAAAACTGGAGCAACTGGCGAACGTTTCAAAGAAGGCGTCAACATAAACAAAGGGCTGCTTGCCTTAGGAAATGTTATATCCTTACTGGGTGAGGGTAAATCAACGTATATTGGCTACCGAGACAGTAAGCTCACGCGATTACTGCAAGACTCTCTAGGTGGTAACTCCATAACATTGATGATAGCTTGTGTCAGTCCAGCTGGTTAGTATCAGAAAAAAAATATGTTTCAGATTGTTTCTGATTTCAGATTTTATACAATTTTATGTAGCTTGGGGTATTTGTCAGAAACCTTAGGAAACAAAGTTTCTGATTGATCAAAATTGTTTCATTTGAAAATTATGAAGCGCCTAATTTTTTAGTCGTATGACTACCCTGGGATAACTTCTTAATTCAGCCTGTTTCAATATCTTACTCGTTTAAAAGTACAGACCAACTTGTTAGAAATGGTCTGTTACGTTTATTTTGCACTGTCTACTTGCTGTACTATGTACTGTTTATGTAAGTGATTAGTGAATCTTTATTTCATTTAATACTTTTTCCGAATATTGCAATTGGTAATTCTGAAGCTATAATCTTAAAAATTATAGAATACTTCAATTATACAAAGAATTCAACAATTTTTCACCATGCTCGACAAAGCTACAAGACTCTCTCGACAGTTGAAAAGTAACGGATGTATAAGAATTTGAATTGTACTACGTACATAAAAATATATCTACGTAAATAAATAAATGATGCGCATATATTCACATTTCATGGTTCGATAATATTTGTATTATTGTAGATTTCAAAAATTAATTAGTTTAAAGTATAAACGCGTAGAAAATGTAACTATAAATTATTTTTAATCTGATTATACAAACATACTTTAGCCTAAAGGCGCCTTCACATCTGTCTCGGACAATGGTACGTTTAAAATAACAGACAACCCATTGGTTAAGTCTTTCATGAGAAACGACTTTGACCAATGAGCAATTTAGTTCTCCAAGTTTTTCAAGCAGTACGTAGGACTGCTGCTCATTTCCTCCGACGTTAATCGAAATTTAAATTCTAGTTACCCTATCTTAAAACTATATTTAAAAAATTGAGCCAGGCCTAAATCACGTCGGAAAAAAACGGGCGTACATGAGCAATTTAGTTCTCCAAGTTTTTCAAGCAGTACGTAGGACTGCTGCTCATTTCCTCCGACGTTAATCGAAATTTAAATTCTAGTTACCCTATCTTAAAACTATATTTAAAAAATTGAGCCAGGCCTAAATCACGTCGGAAAAAACGGGCGTACACCCGTTTTTTTCGACGCGATTCACTGCATAAACTCGGTTTAATTGTGTAACCTAACCCAATCAGACACTTCTATTTTAAAGATAAACGGAGTTTATGCATTGAACCACGTTGAAAAAGCGGGCCAGGGTCTCCTTGAACTCGGTTCAAGGAAGTTCTGCCAATGGAAAACGATATGAGATTTATACAGAGTATACACGAATCAAAAAGTAATTATTAAGGTATTGTTTAATTGTGTAACCTAACCCAATCAGACACTTCTATTTTAAAGATAAATTTTAAAGATATCATTTATCACGATTCAAATTATCGATTAAACACAACTCGAACAATTCATATATTAATCTCATAATTTTCACCTATTATCTTTTACATATCAAGAGCGACAATAATAATTATACTTGATATATGTATATTACTAAGGATTATCCCTGGTTATCAAGATTGATGGCCAATTGAAATTCTTCCAAGTTCCAATTTTTTCTCAAACCTAATCACAGTATTCTGATCCTCCTCAGCATGAAATATCACATTTGGATCGTGATGTTATTACTATGGCATTTGAACACAACTGGTAAACTGCAACCTGCAGTTGCAGTGAAGACTCCAAGTAGAGTCATCACTTCTGACTTCATGCAAAGGTTATATGTATATCCAAGGATAATTATTACCAGATAGTTCTTTATAAATACTAACGAAAAAATAAAATATGTCGAGGCAACGCCGAGGATTTCCCGTTATTTTACTCCACGGCATCGGATCTTCCATAATAAAATAAAAGAATCCATCATTATTATTGGCCAACAGTTGAATTGTGTTTATAATTACAAAAAGACAGAATGAATGTAACAACATTAATGTAAAATTAAATGCAGGAAGAATCT